ATATGTGAATAAACGTATTTTGGTCAGGTATGGATATAACACTCTGGTCTGTGTGTGTTACACATCCCCTTTGATGTTTGACCCATACAGGATGTGTGTCTGTTACAGTCTCCAGCTTGGCACTGTAGCTCAGTCTGTAGAAACGTGTCTCCAGTTCAATCCCAATGTGCTGACCAAGATGGCAGTTGTCAGATCGGCATTAGTAAAATATCAAAAGCTGACCCTTGGCTTATGTAGCAATATTTTTCCATGTATGCAGCTTTTTTAAAATGGTATTGATGATGATGGGGTAAGTGAGGCATCTAATTGCAGTAAAAAGGAAGCTATTAGATAGTTGTTCATATAATGTAACAATGCCCACCTCTGGATACTGCAGGATCCAATCACTTCATCTCATCTGAATGATGTGGATAGTGAATTAATAGAAAACCTGTACTATTATATGAGGTAAATAGATGGTGGTAGCATTATTCAGCTCTAAACATGGCCCGAATAATACTTTAAAAATGCAGCATAGCATTTAGATCTGTTATATCATGAAAATAATTATAATGGATATTATTTATCTAGCAAATGGTATCTGATTATAGCAGGCGGTATTCAATTGCTCTCCCACATGTGGTGAGAGTTAGATGTTAAAAAAAGGCTTAATACATCTCTCATGTACCTGGTATTGAGTACCAGATAACTGTTAAAATCCATTGTATATCTGATATTCTTTGTGGAACAAGGCTTCTGTTTGCCTCTGGCCATTTTTATACTTCTTAAAAGGAGAGATTCTGCAATGTGCCTGTGAGGTGCAGTACAGTACAGAACTCCTAGCCACGGTGGAGGGAAGGGTTAAGGTGGCTTTAAACCACCTTTGCACCCTCCTCATCCTGCACTGCTCTGCAGGCCCTGTCATAATTTCAACAGTCCTGGGGGTATGCCTGGTAGATCAGCCCAGGGAAACTGCCCTATGGACCATGGCACTGACTAGAATCTCCACACTGAGGGTGCTGCCCTTAATGCCATGCCTTGTGAAAGAGAGCTTGAAAAGTTAGTTTTATGGCTGCCTTCCTCTATTCCTGTGCTGAGGGAATCCTTCCCAGCCAGATCTGGGGTTTTTAGAGTCCCTTTATGCCTATCCTGCCCTCAGACCCTATGTAAAGGAGTCAGAGCAGGGCTAAGGATCTTTCCCAAACTGTTTAATGTTATGCTACGTAAGCTGTTACATTGATTTTCAATATGTTGTTCCCGAAGATGCTTAATTCAGTCCTGTGTATCATTAACTATAGATTTCAATACATGGAACTATATAGTGAGACTAATAAAATTATTTAACAAGTTACTTGTTGCTCCACTGTGTGTGTGTGTGTGTGTGCGCGCGCATGTGTGTGTGTGTATGTGTGTGTTGTTGGTATCTGTCCTTCTAATACCTACCCATCAATGAACACTACTTTCTGTAGGATGGAATGTCATGGTCAGATGTGCTCCAGTATGTTACTGGCTGCACACTATGATTACTGCCTCCAGAGCATATCTGCCCACATTTGTGGTTAAAAAACAAAGGGAGAAAAATGTGTTGAACTACAAGAAAAAATACAAACATTACAACCTTCAACTTCCTGAACTCTCTTCTTCAAAATACTTTGCTACTTTCTTCTTACACACACTCCTGCCTTGCTCAGACATTTAAATCAAGGAACCATTAGCGTGAGCATTTCACCTTACCTTGGCTACTGTGGTGGTTTCTGGGCAGAGGATATGTCTGTTGAATAACTTAAATACTGGAAAAAGATGTTTTTGCACTAGGCTGTCATGATACATCCTATATTTACAAAAATACTGCAACTTGCTTCCGCTGAGTTAGTTACTGCAGTAGATGCTACAGTATACTTATAAAAGGGTGGCGTGCCCTTGGGTTGGAGAGCCTGGGGCTAATCCAGCCCTCATTACAAGATGAGCCCACCTGAGAGGAATCAAGAGCTTCATGTATAAAAGGCAGCAGGAAGCTGCAGGGTGTGCAATAGAGAGAAGTAGCTAGGACTGCCAGAGGCATGAGTCCTGGCAATAAGCAAAGGGAAGCCCAGAAAACAGGAGGCTATGGAGCTGGAACTGAGGGAAATCTTTTGTGTTTGTTTTGAGACTTTTGAGTTGTTTTTGTGACAAACTCTATTGCCAGCTGGGTAAAGACTCAATTAAAGGATTTTGGTCTGAGAAGGGAACTGGAAACTGAGTTCTTGAAGGGGAAATAGAGGCAGGATGGTAGTCATGGGCTGAGGCAGAGCGTTGGGGTGTGGAGAGTGAAGGCTCTGACTGGGGGTGCGGGACTGGAAACTGAGTTCTTGAGGGGAAATAGAGTCAGGATGGTAGTCATGGTGCTATGCCAGGTCGTCAGCGGGATCTCTGAACCCTCTGCTACCAAGGAGAGAAGTAGTCCTAGAAGGAGCAACCCAAAAAAAGGAGAGATGAAAGAGTTTGTCCTCCTATTAGCAAAGCAGCAATAGAAAACTCAGATTCTCCTCCTGCACCTGTACAAAACCAACAGAAATAGCAGGAAGTACAGTTTGCCTTCCAACAACAGTGGCAGGAGATGCAGTGGCTCTGGCTGGGGGTTTGGGCCTTGGGGTGGGGCCAGGGATGAGGGGTTTGGGTGTGGGAGGGGACTCAGGGCTAGGGCAGAGGAGTGGGGTGTGAGGGCTCTGGCTGCGGGTGCTGGCACTGGGGTGGGGTTGGGGATGAGGAGTTTGGGATGCAGGAGGGGGCTGAGGCAGAGGGTTGGGGTGTGGAGGGTGAGGGCTCTGACTGGGGGTGCGGGCACTGGGATGGGGCCGGGGATGAGGGGTTTGTGGTGCAGGCTGCCCCAGGGCTGCAGCAGGGAGAGAGGACTCCCCCTAGCCTCCTCTCGCCATAGAAGCCCAGTCCTGGGGGAAGAGGCGCTTCTCCCTGGCTGTGGTAGCTCCTGGGCTGGGGGAGGAGGCGCCGTGGTAGTTCCACCTAGGCTGCCAGACCACCCTTTTTTAACAGGGGCGTCCCAAGTGTCTTATAGAGCCGTGAGTGATATCCTGTGAAGCTCATACCCTGATCTAAAAGCAGCCATCTTAGATCAGCTTGCGTTACCAACAGAAGTTGCGGATAGAGCTGTTTCTGCAAGAGGCCCAGCCCCATGCAGTAATCCAGACACTATGGGATGTAACTGGCCAATGGCTGAGCTTGAAATGAATTTGTTAGTGGGAATAATGGGCTTAGTTGTCTTAGAGCAGCTCCTGTATGTTCTGCCTAGGGGGACACAATCCCGGGTAAAAAAGATTTCAACCCTGAATAGTGGTGGAGACTATAGAGAATGCAGAGGCCTATTTGGAGGCAGAGGGACCGGAGCACATAGGCACTCTGAGTCTAGCCCAGCATTCTGATATTGACAGAAAGCCAGCATCCAGGATACCCCAAGGGCAGAGAAGTCAACAGAGGAAAGGAGGGGGGCTAACCTCAACCATCATGCCATAAAAGAACTAATCCCTTATTGTCGCCAAGGGGAAAAGTTTCAGAGGGGTGATGATAGAGTTACCAGTGGTGTGCTTCTGCTGCAGGCTAGTGGGACACATCCAGAAAAAACTGCTCCCTCGTGGAGTGTGACTTTGTGGGCTGCTATTTTAGTCAGGCAAGGTAGTTGAGGTCCCCTCCAAAAAGGCTATTTCTGCTAAGGGGAGGGACAAGACCTTCAGAGCTTTGTTTTCAGTGTGGGAGAAGAGGGCATAAGCAGAAGACTTACCCTCTTATGGATTGGTATGGGGGTGGCGGGAAAGGTACGGGACGACCACAATTTGAGGACAGTAGGGAAGAACAGTTTTCACCAGGACTGGGAATTAGCATCCCAGGCAGTCCAGAGAGTGGTAGCATAGTACACAATTTGCCAGCAGGGATTGGTGAACTCTCCATATTGGGAGGAGGACCACTAGAGGAGGAGGTTCTGACCCACTCTGTAGAGCAGGGAGAAGCTTCAGGCCTCATATCTGAAACGGTGAAACAAAGGAAGCTGAGGATGGACGAACCTTGTAGCTGCATTTGTTCCAGACAGAAAGGAGTTTTGGGAGACAGGTGCTGGTCTGGGATGTAGGGGAAATCCAAGTAGGGTCCAGAATGGAGGAAGTAGGAACGCAGACCTTGTCATAGCACATAGGTGGTAACTGCCGGACTATACCCTTCTGTGAGGTGGTAAGCACCCAAATGATGACCCGTGGGATAAGAAGGGAAACGGGGTAGCCCAAGCTCCTCCATAGGGTACACGGTAGCAGTTAATTAATAAACGCCAGGTAGCCTTTGAGGAGCAAGATCGCCTGCATGTCATGGTTAGTGAACTCAGGATGGTGAAGAACTGGAAACTGTACAGACCTGGACATGAAGGGGCTGGTGACATAAGGAAATAGAGAGGGGGGGAATTTTTTCAGATAGAGCCTGCCCTGGGGAGTGCAGCATGGTTCTGAGGGCGGTGGGGTGGGGGTATGTAACACGGTGGCTTGCCTGAGGCTTAGCCAGTCCTGGTTACAAGATGACCCCACATGAGAGGAATCAGGTGATTCATATAAAAGGCAACAGGGAGTGTGGAGTTGAGAGATGTAGCTGGGGACTGCTGGAAGCATGAGGCCTAGCAGTCAGAAAAGAGAAGCCCAGGAAACAGGAATCTATGAGGAGCTGGAACCCAGGGAAATCTTTGTGTTTGTTTTGGGACTTCTGAGTTGTTTTTGTGACCAACTCTGGTGCCATCTTGGTGAAGAGTGAATTAAAGGATTTTGGGCTGAGAGGGCAACTAGAAACTGAATGAGTTCTTAAAGAGGCCATGGTAAATGGGAAATAGGTGTGGGTGGTGGTCTCAATGCTATATACTGTTCAAGACCACCATGCCTTAGTCGTTTTTGTTCTTCTCCTCCTCTAACGTTGCCAGAGGCTAGCTTAGCATGGTTCCCAAACAGGACTATTGTTTTAACCTAAGTGTCCCTTTTAAAACTGTGTTTTATTTTCAGGTCTTTGTCTAGAGAAGTTGCCAATTTCCTCTTCAACTAGTAACCTCCACACGGACCGTGAACAAGAAATCATTACGTGCTACGAGAAGGCTGGAGATATTGCCCTCCTGTACCTTCAGGAGATAGAAAGGGTAAGATGGGATAATTTGACCAGTTGAAACAACTGATCTTATTTATTACACAACAGCTTGCAGTCATTCTTAGAACAGCAGCACCTATAGTGTTTCCACATGAAACCTTCTGAGGACTGAGAGAGACTAGATTACACAGTTTAGCTTTCATTGATGTGATCAGATAACTTGGTATTTAACCACAACGGAATGTTCCAAGCTCTATTGTCTCATAGACATGATGGTGAAAAGGATACACAGAAAACCTTGTAGTCCTCATGATCCTACAAATGGGTTTCTTTGTTTAATTTAAAAAAAACAACAAGAATGAAATAAACCCATGCCTGTAAATATCAAAAGTGAAATCCTGGCTCGATGGTGGTCAATAGCAAAATTTCCATTGACTTTGATGAAGCCAGGATTTCACCACAGTTCATTTCCCTTCCAATCCATAAAGTATACTGGTGGAAAAGATCCTAAAATAATGTTGTACCTATCAGCAAGATGCATGTCATGCCCGTGGGAACAGCCAGAATAACATTTGAAGAACATATATTAATTTCATTTTATAGACATAATTCAGGGACAATGAAAGACATACCTGTAACTTCTATTTTTCATCAATAATGTAGGACTGAAAAATTCTTCAAGCAAAATGAACAAGTGAAAAAGCGTAAGGTTATGAAGGGCATGTCTACACTTACAGCGCTGCAGAAGTGCAGCTGTACTGATGCAGCTGCACCACTGCAGTGTGTCTGGTGAAGATGCTCCATGCTGATGGGAGAGGGCTCTCCTGTCGATATAATAAAACAGCTTCTGCCGTTCGCGGAGGTAATGTCGGCGGGAGAAGTTCTCCCACCAACTTAGCATTGTGCACACAGCACTTATGTCGCTATAGCTTATGTCGCTCCGGGGAGGTGGTTTATTCACACCCCTAAGCGACATAAGTTATGCCGCCATAGGCTGTACTGTAGACATATAATTTGTTAACCAATGATAAATTTAGAACGAACTGTGTTTCTGATACACTGCAGGCAGTAGTGCATCAGAACTGTGTTTCTGTTACACTACACTCACTGTGCTGAGATGTAATCAAAATAAACTTTGGTCATTGCTAAAAATCTGTGACCCAGCTGTTAAGTTAAATCATAATTTATTTGCAGTAATTGCTGACATTTTACTAATAAATGTACCTTGATTTGATTTCAATAAATTAGGGTAATTTGTTAAACAATTAGAATTCTGTTTAAATAGCAGATTTCTTTTATAATGTAGTTCTACCAGTCTTTGAACTTGAGTGCAGGTTATCGCTTTTAGCGAAGGAAAAATTAAACAGCTGGTGGAAATATTAAGAGTTAAAGTAAATTCATGTGTGTTTGACAACAGAACATTTTGAGTAAATGTAATAGTCTTATATAGGAACAAGACTGTTTAATTATAAGTGAGTGTTCTTCAAGCATTGCCTGCATGGATCCCACAGTCTGTGATGCACATAGCTGAACCGCTCAGTAATAGTGTCCGTAATATAAGTAAATTTAAAATCCTTGTGTGGGGGGGAATACAAAAGAAGCCAACTACAGTAGCAGTACCTTCAGAAAGGGGAACTACACAAAAATTAGGTAGTTAGTTAAATGGAAATTTAAAAGGAACAGTCACAAAAGTAAAATGCTTGCAAGCTGCATGGAAACTTTTAAAAAACACCATAATAGAGGCTCATATTAAATGTATACCCCAAATTAAAAAACCTAGTAAGAGGACCAAAAAAGTGTAACCATAGCTAAACAGCAAAGTAAAAGAAGCAGTTAGAGGCCAAAAGGCATCCTTTAAAAATTGGAAGTCAAATCCTACTGAGGAAAATAGAGAGGAGCATAAGCTCTGGCAAGTCAAATGTAAAAGTATAATTGGGCAGGCTGAAAGAGAATTTGAAGGGCAAGTAGCAAAAGACTCCAAAATAGACAGCAAAAAAATTTAAGTACATCAAAAGCAGGAAGCCTGCCAAACAGTCAGTGGGGCCACTGGACAATCAAGGTGCTAAAGGAGCACTCAAGGAAGATAAGGCTATTGCAGAGAAGCTAAACAAATTCTTTGCATTAGTCTTCACTGCAGAGGATGAGAGGGAAATTCGCACACCTGAGCCATTCTTTTTAGGTGGCAAATCTGAGGAACTGTCCCAGATTTAGGTGTCATTAGAGGAGGGTTTGGAACAAATCGGAAAATTAATCAATAATAAGTTACCAGGACCAGATGGTGTTCACCCAAGAGTTCTGAATAAATTCAAATACGAAATTGCAGAGCTACTAATTGATATGTAACCTATCACTTAAATAAGCTTCTGTACTGATGTCTGTGGGATATTTAATGTGATGCCAATTTTTAAAAAAGGTTCCAGAAGTGATGCTGGCAATTACAGGCCAGTAAACCTAACTTCAGTACCAGGCAAATTGGTTGAAACTATAGTAAAGAACAGAATTATCAGACACATAGATGAATGTGATCTGTTGGGGGAAGAGTCAACGTCAGTTGACTAAACTAAGAGTCACTAAACTATTAGAATTCTTTGAAGGGGTCAGCAGTCATGTGAACAAGGGTGATATAGTGTACTTGGACTTTCAGAAAGCCTTTGAAATGGTCCCTCACCAAAGATTCTTATCAAAGTAATCAGTCATGGGATAAGAGGGAAGGTCCTCTCATGGATCAGTAACTGGTTATAAGACAGGAAACAAAGCGTAGAAATAAATGATCAGTTTTCAAAATGGAGAGAGGTAAATAGAAGTGTCCCCCAAGGATCTGTACCGGGGTCAGTACTGTTCAGCATATTCATAAATGATCTGGAAAAAGCGGTAAACAGTCAAGTGGCAAAGTTTGCAGACGATACAAAATTACTCAAGATATTTAAGTCCAAAGCAGATTGCGAAGAGTTCCAAAGGAATCTCACAAAACTGGATGACTGGGCAACAAAATGGCAGATGAAATTCAATGTTGATAAATTCAAAGTAATGCACATTGGAAAACACAGTCCCCACTATACATACAAAATGATGGGATCTAACTTAGTTGTTACCACTCAAGAAAGAGATCTTGGAGTTGTGGATAGTTCTCTAAAAATGTCCACTGAATGTGCAGCAGCAGTCAAAAAGGTTAACAAAGTTAGGAACCATTAGGAAAGGGATAGATAATAAGACAGTCATATCATAAAGTTACTATATAAATCCATGGTAGACCCACATCTTGAATACTGTGTGCAGTTCTGATCTACCTGTCTTAAAAAAAAAAAAAAAAAAAAAAAAAGATTGTATTTGGAAAAGGTACAGAGAAGGGCAACAAAAATGATTGGAACAGCTTCCCTATGAGGTTATAAAGACTATGACTTTGCAGCTTGGAAAAGAGATGACTATGCGGGGATATGACAGAGGTCTATAAAGTCAAGAGTGGCGTGGAGAAAGTGAATAAGGAAAAGTTACTCCTTCACATAACAGAAGAACCAGGGGCTATCCAATTAAATTAACAGGCAGCAAGTTTAAAACAAACGGAAGGAAGTACTTCTTCACAGAATGCACAGTCAACCTTTGGAACTCATTGCCAGGAGATGTTATGAAGGCCAAAATTATAATGGGGTTCAATAAAGAATTAGATAAGGTCATGGAGGATAGGTCCATCAATGGCTATTAGCCAAGATGGTCAGAGGTTCAACTCCACACTCTGGGTGTCCCTAGCCTATGATTGCCAGAAGCTGGGACTGGATGACAGGGGATGGATCACTTGATAATTACCTCTTCTATTCATTCCCTCTGAAACATCTGGCATTGGCCACTGTCAGAAGACAGGATACTGGGTAGATGGACCATTGGTCTGACCCAGTATGACCATTCTTATGTTCTTATAAACTTTTGTGTAGAGTTCTCCGTTGGGGCCCTGTGAACAACCTGCTTATGTCTTCGTGCTGTCCTACCTAAATGTTTATCTAAGGGTCGCAACCTCAACTGATTGTGAACCAACAGCATGCAATAGATATCAAGCTAGAAATTCTGGGAAGGCAGGATCCCTGCCTCTCTTGGTTCACTTTTGCAAAAATTTGCCATTTTTGTATGCAAGTATAGTTAGTGTTAGGAATTTTTAGCTCTGTTGGGCACTTTGTTTTTCCTAAACCTCTGTTGAACTCTTTCTGCACTGTTGTAGGCTTTAGTAAACTGGCCAAATTCCTAATCTGTTAGTTTCAAGCTGTGCCCCTCCTCCCCTCCCTCTGAACGACCATGATGTTTTGTTCAGAGTTACGAATATTTCAGAGTTATGAACAACCTCCATTCCCAATGTGTTCATAACTGAGGTTCTACTGTATAGTTAAAACGGTATAACTTATGTGTAGACAAGCCTTCAGAGTAACTGAGTGTCACTCTCTACAAAGATTACATAGCTATAGCTTCTCTGGTGCACCGTTTACAGATGAAAAGTGTTGTAGGTGATAGGCCAAAAATGTTACCAATAAAACTGGTTTATTGAATTTCACAAGGTCCTGCTGCATTAACAGACGTGTTTCTTCTTCCATTGCTCAAGCAAAACCATCAAGAAATTAGCATTGTACCAGGCTTGATGTTACTGTTACCTTCTGTGATGATTTGGTGGATCTATGTACAGTTCATGAATTCTGATTGATATGGATTCATTATGCAACCATATTAAACTACAAACTTCATGTTGATTGTAAGACTGGTCTGACTTTTCTGCTGTCTGTTTTTTACCTCCATCTTAGTCTGAAATTCAAGAGATGTTGACAAAGAACTAATAGTGGAGGGTCTTTAAACCTTCATGGCCTTTTGTGCAAATGGAGACATCCTATGTCAATGAGCTGGCTACTGCCCAGAAGAACCTCCCAGATGTGCTATAACCAGGCAACTGATCATCTGAATGGAGGGAGTTGAGGCTTTCATAGGGATCATAGGACAAAGGGGGCTGGAAATTATAAAAGGAAGGTTCTTTTATTGGCCATTTTAGAGAGTAGAAAGATGGTGACTGCAGAGGTCAGA